CTGTTGTAAAATCACTAATGAATTTGGTATAATTATGATTTACATAATTAAATATATTTTGTATATTTGTAACACTTAATATTTTTTGTGCGAATACTTGATAATATAATATATCATTTTTATCTGTTATACTATTATTTATTTTTTTATTTTTTTTATTCACATTTTTATCATCACAACTATTATAATTATATTTATCATCACAATTATCATCATAATTATAATTATTATCTTGATAACATTTATTATCATCTTTATTATTTATATTTAAAATGGACTTTGTATTTTTATTTTTATTTACTTCATCCTTTTTTAAATACTTTTTTACAATATTCATATTTTTTATAGCCTTAAAATTAATCTTGTTATTACTATAATTATTATTATTATTATTATTATTATTATTATTATTACTATTATGGTTATCATCTGCGATGTTGTTTATATTATCACATTGATTATCTTTCTTTTTTTTTATTATTTTTTCTTCTTTTAATATGTCATCTATTTTGTTATTTCCCTTATAAATTATATCATCTTTTAGATTGTGATTTAATTCATTTATTAAAAAAATGTTATTATTTTCTTTTACAGAATTTACTATATGTAATATTTCTTCGAATATTTCATCGTTTTCCTTCCTATTACATTTTAAACTAGTTAAATTGAATTTTATAATATTACATATGTCGTTCTTCATCTTTACTAATATATCACCTATTAACATATCATCATCATCATTATTGTTAATATTATCATACTCATTATCATGAATATGTGTCTCATCATTATTATTTATATGTACATTTTCATTGTTATTTTCATCTACATTTAGATATTGTACCCGTTCATCATAAACATCTTTATTATTATGTTCATATCTCTTTTGTATATCATATTTAGAAATCAAGGTAGGATCTATTTTAGCTAAATTTCTTATAGTCAAACCATGTTCTTCATTTTCTTGTTTCTTTTGTATTATTGGATTTTTATTATCATCTTTACCTTTTTTTAATTTTTCCATATTTAATTTAATATTTCTTTGCCTCTCTTCTTCTGTTAATACTTTTAAATCATCAAAAGTTCTAATAAGATATTCGTTTATATCATTTTTATTTGAATTATCACTTTTGTTAAGTTGCTCTTTAATAATATCAATTTTATTTTTATAAGATTCAATAAAGAAGTCTAAATATTTCACTTTCCCAGTGCTCTTAAATCCGCACATATAACTGAAAATACACAGACTAAAGCAAAAGAAGATGATATCTTTAGTTATGTGATTTTTATTAAAATTCAGGAAAATATTTAATTTATTATCATACGGGTTATTTTTATCATCATCATTATTATCACTATTATCATTATTATCATTATTATCATTATTATCATTTTTTTCTTTGTTTCTTTTTTCCTTTTTTTTCATATTTTTTTCTTTTTCATTTGTATCAAATTCTTTTTTGCTTTCTACTTTTTCTTCTCTTATTATTGGTTTCGCCTTTACCATTTTAGCTCTTTGTGCAAATTTTATTGTAGATGCAGTTTCGTTTAAATATTGTAACTGTGACGACAATGTGCATATAAGAATGCTTTTGCAATTATTTCCTAAACTATCTGATAGTACTCTTGTAAGTTTAGAATCTCGATAAGGAATATGCACATTAGAGCTACCACTATGTGGATTATGACTTGAACTATTTATATGATTGTTGTTATTATTTATGTTTATATTATTTGGATCCACATTCTTGTCACCTATATTATTTAGGTCCACATTCTTATCACCTATATTATTTAGGTCCACATTCTTATCACCTATATTATTTAGGTCCACATTTTTGTCACCTGTATACTTCCCCTTATCCTTTTCCTTTTCCTTGATGCTTTTTTCTATTTTTTCCTTTATCTGCATGATAGCTAAAGAATTAATAACTTTACTAAGAACAGTAAGACTTTTGTTTATCATAGTAGTTTCTATTTTGATAGATCCCGTTGCTTTAGTTTGTTTTAATCTTTCACTTCCTGCTAAATCGACAAGACATAGTTTCCCACATCTTATGGTGTTAGTTGAATATATATATCTATTTATTTTAATAATAAATATTAAATGTGATCTTGAAGATGCTTTGTTCATATGTGTAAAGGCTATTTTTCTATTATTCACTCCTTGTTCTAAATAGTAGAGCGCACTAATAATATTTTCTATTTCCACTTCTTTTAGATTTTTTATAATAAATTCATTCTTGTTAGAATCTATCATATGTACAGATAAATTGCTTTCACCGCTTATTAAATCATAAATCACTTCATTGTATATTTCTAGAATGGATAAGGTAACCGTAAATTCTTTTATTTTATCATTTATTTTATCTTGTTGTTTATGATAATTTATATAATTAAAAATGTAATTAATACAATGTGGTATGATACCTACGTTATTCGGTTCGTTTGTTATACAGTTGGTTAATTCATCATATGTTAAATGAATATCATTATGTTCATCAGAGTTATTCATGTCTATGTTAGTCTTAATATTATTATCATTATTATTATCCTTATTATGATTATTATTATTATCATTATTATGATTATTCTCTTTAGTGTTTATCTTATCATGTACCTTATTAATTTTATTTTCATTATTATAACAATTCTTATTATCTTTACAAAGATGAAATAAATTATTTAGAAAATCAAAATTTCCTAACATAGTATATGTTTTCCCACTATTAGTTTGCCCATATGCTAATATACTACAATTAATACCTTGGAATATATTTTTAATATTATTTTTTATATAATCATTAAATATCATATGATTATTATTTTCTATATCATAAACTCTATCATATGTATATTCAAAATTGAGCGAACTCTTATTACCTACATGGAATGTATCTATAACTAATTTGTTATGAGAAATTTTTTTTATAACATCAACATTATTATCATTTATATTATTATTTGTATCTATTTTATTATTTTTTATTCTACATATCACATTTATATATTCTTCTACATTCTTATTTATAGCAACATCTTCAAAATATTTAGCTTTATTATTTTCTATATCTTTATTTTTTTTTTTTTTCTCATCAATTTTATTATCTATATACCAAGTATATAAATTTTTTACTCCTTCTTTATTTTTAATAATTTTATTATTCTTGCTAATATTTCTTCCTTTACTTGTCCCCCTGTTTTGATTGGGGTTGTAACCTTTAACGTTCTTATTTACCATACTTTATATATATATATATATATAATAAATAAATTAATAATAAACAGAAGAAATAATTCATATAAAAATATAATTCTTTCTTATAATATTATAACATACTAATGTGACACATGCTATACGTTTAAATTATTATTGTACATATAAATTTTTATTGTAATTTAAAAAAAAAAAAAATATATATATATATATATATATACATATCTGTCTTTATTTATTTTAATTTTTTCCTAGTTGAGTGTTCGTATGATAACCTTTTATATTCCTTATACATATAATATTTCGCAAAAATAAAATATATATATATATATATATATATTATTGTATATAACAAGGCATACATATATCATTTAAATTTTTTAAATCGAATATAATTTTTTTCTTTTTGTCTTATTTTCATAAAAATATTTAATCCCAATTATCACATAATATATATATATATATATATTAAGAATTTTATAATTTCTTCTTCCTTTTACCTCTTTTTTTTTTTTTTTTTTTTTTTTTTTTCTATATATTTTATCATGATGAATAGAAGTACATTTATAGGAATGTCTCAATAATGAAAAGTACAAAATAAAAATAATAAAATAGACACTCAAAAAAAAAAAAAAAAAAGAATGTATACATATATATTATATATATATATAATAATATATATTAGTTTTTTTTTTTTTTTTTTTTTTTTTTTTTCTTTTATGAACTCGTGATTGATTATTAGTTATATTGAACGCCTTATGAAATACATTACCTATTATGTATATATAAATATTGAAAAAACAACATAAGGAAAATTTTGAATAGAACCATACAAACAAGAAGGAAACCAATAATAATAAATATATTCAATCAAACGCATAATAAATATACATATATATATATATATATATATGTATGTATTTATTTATTTTTTTATTTTATATTTTAATTTTTAAAAATTATTAAGGAAAATTTTTTTTTTCTAGAAATATTAAATTATAATATTTTATTCATATCACTACATAATATAAGAAGTATTAAAATATTAATTATATTCTTCTATTATATATATTTTTTGTAAAAAGAAAAAGAATTATTCCACAATTAAATGTAATAATATATTTTACAAATAAAAAATAAAATTAGTTTTAAGAAAGTCTTTATACACTTTTTGTATTAATTATATTTTACCAAAGAAAAATCTTACAAAAAAAAAAAAAAAAAAAAAAAAATCTATATATTTAAATATAACATTTATTTTGTATATTGTATTATATATATATATATATATATATATAATATAAATAAGAATAATATGCTTCAAGTATTAATAATATCTATATAATATCTATATAATAAATATATTATATATATATATATATATATATATATAATATTGATATAATAACTTTTTATATGTTTTTTTTTTTTATATATTATTAAATAAATTTTTCCTTTATGAAAAACCCCAAATATTCCAAAAACAAAAAAAATATATATATATATATATGTATATATGTAAATAAATATAATTATATATATATTTAATATATGAATAATCTTATTTTTTTATATATAATTAAATTTATTTATAAAAGAATTCTCTATTCTTATATTACATCTTATTTTATACATTTCAATATATTAAGTGAAATAAATATATAAATTATTATTATTAAAAATATATTATATATATTTAATATTTTAATAATTCTTTTCCATCATTATTCCAGTTCTTAAAATCGCATGTTTCTTTTTTTTTTTCTTTTCCTATAATTATATATTATATATATATATATATATATATACTTGTGTTTTATTTCTGATTCTTATTACATAATTGAATTTTTTTCATTTCTTAGTATAATTTTTTTTTTTCCTTCACATTATATATATATATATATATTATTTATTTATATATATAATTTTTATATTTATAAGATAAAACAAAAAAATCATAAATGCTATATATTATAAAAAAAAATAAAAAAAGATATATATATTTTTATACTTTTAAGGTTTAATTTTTTGCAATCCGCCATTTTCTTGTTATAAAAGAAAAATGTATAACCCCAATTTTCTTTCGTTTTGAATATAATTATATTTTTATGTATAGATATATATTTATATTTATTTATTTTATAATTTATATTATATTATTATTAATATTTTCTTTTTTTTTTTCTCTCTCTTCCTTCTTTCTCTTTTTTTTTTTTTTTTTTTTCCTTTTTTTTTTCTTATTTTCATTATTTGTTTTTGTTTTTGTACAACCATATAAAATAGTTGTATAAAATTCAACTATATTATATTATATTATATTATATTTTTTTTTTTTTTTTTTTTTTGTAAAATGTATATATTATTAATATATATTATTTCTATGTGTATATAATATATTAATTCTTTTTATGGTTAATTTATATATGACACAAAATCTACCTTATTGTAGTATGTAAAAATAAAAATATATATATATATAAAAGAGAATCCAAGGAGACTAAATAAAAATGTAAAAATATATATATATATATATATATATATATATGTATATGTATATGTAAAATATAATGTGTTCTGCTATGATATAATAGTATAATTTTTTTTTTTTTTTATTCTTGGTTACAATTGAAAAAAGAAAAGCAAAATTATTATATTTTAAGTATCAATTTGTATATCTCTGTAAAAGGTAGTCCCACACCCAAAAATAATAAAATAATTAAATAAATATATATATATATATTAAATATATATATATATATTTATTTATTTATATTGTTTTTTTTTTTTTTTTTTTTTTTTTTTTTTGTAGATGCTATTATTTAAGAAAGTTAATTCAAAAGTCTTGAGTATAAATAATTATTTACAAAAGTAATAAAAACATATAAATATATTATAAGTATATATTAATATTTGAATATTTTTACATATTTTCCTTTTTTTTTTTTTTTTTTTTTTTTTTTGTGTGTGTGTGTGAATATTTAATTTTATTATCGTATTATATTTATATTACATGTAGTACAAAAAAAATTTGTATTTTTATTTGTTTCATTGATATTACAGATATTTAGAATCTAATCAATTTGAGAAAAATTTAAAAGAAGCGCTAAATAATAAAAATTATGGAGTGTCTAATAGTCTTCTATATGATTTATCAATATCAACATATGACGTGAATTATTACAAAAGGGTTATGACGGAGGTGTTTAAGGCTATCCAAGAGAAACCAACGAGATGGAGAAGAATATACAAGGTAAAAAATGTGTATATATGTATAAATGTGATTATAAATACATATATATATATATATATATATATATATTTATATATATATACACATTTATTCGTTTGATTTATTTTAGGGCCTAAGATTGTGCGAATATGTTATGAAGAATGGTTGTGAATATTTTATCAGTGATGTTAAAGATAAGGAGGAACTCATAAAAAAATTAACACACTTTACACACCTCGAAGATTTAAAAGACAAAGGTATTGGTATAAGAGATATTTCAAATAACATATTAAAATTATTGAAAGATAATAAATACTTAAAAAATGAAAGAATAGAAGCAGCAAAATATGCAAATATTTGTACTAATATAGAATCGAAGCCTATAGAAAAAAAAGGTTTTTTTTCTAATAGAAAAAAAAAAAAAAAACATAAAATTAAAAGAACAAATGAATATAGTAGAAGAAATATTAATGATCAAAGAAATCTACGACAAAGTTTACAATCGAAAAATATATTAGATCAAATACAAGAAGAAAGGAAATCAATTTATGGATATACAAATGATGATGATAATAATAATCGATTTAATGAAAAAAGATATGATACAGAAGAAAATAATAATAATCATAATAATCATAATCATATTTCTTCATATTCTTCAAATATTTCATCTTGTTCTTCTTCTTGTTCTTCTTCTTGTTCTTCTTCATCTTCCTCAACATCATCATCATCATCATCATCATCCTCATCAGGAACATATTCATCTTCTGTAAGTAGTAAGAGAAATTCATCTAATAGTTCTCATTCAAATTATAAAACAAATAATAATCATAAAAAAATATCCAAAGTAAAAAAACGTATAAAAGATAAAAAACATTCAATATCCTCATCTGAAAAATCATCAAGAATGTCTAATCGTTCCTTATCAAATTCTCAAGATGAATATAATAATAACTCTTCTAAATTATCTACACAATCAAAAGGCCGTTCAGCATCACATACATCATCATGTGTATCATCTCATACTTCTCACAAACATTCATCTAGATTATCATCACATTCTTCAAGTTCTTCCTCTGATTCAAACAGTTATTCTAGTCGTTCTAGGGGAAGGTCACATTTGAGAAATAAACATGGACGTTCAAAAAAAAATAAAAGAGAAAAGGAAAGAAAAAAAGGTAGATCAACAACTAGACACAAATGAACAAATAAAAAGTAATGTTATTTATTAAAATTTTTATATGTGTTGTTATATTTTTTATGTTCATTTTATGTATACATTATTATAAATTATTTTTTATTTAAGGGATCCTAAAGTTTCCAAATAAAATGTTGCATGTGGACACATAAATAATATTATATCTAAAATGTGATAGAAATGTTATATTTTATTTTGTTATTTTGTTATTTTGATATTTTTTATTTTGTTATTTTGATATTTTTTATTTTGTTATTTTGATACTTTTTATTTTGTTATTTTGATACTTTTTATTTTGTTATTTTTTAATTTTTTTTTTTAATTTTTTTAATTTTTTATTTTTTTATTTTTTAATATTTTTTTTTTTGTTTATAATGTAAGCATATATTTTTTTATATATGGCCCCAAAAGAGGAGGATTTATAGTATTTCATAAAGAAATAAAAATATATACAAACATATGTAGTATATATATATATATATATATATATATTTATTTATTTATTTATTATACCGTTTTTAATAAAGAGATAATTTATATATAAAAAAAAAAAAAAAAATGAAAATATATTTATATATATTTGTATTTATTATATGCCTTATTATATATATAAATATATTATTATGTATTTTTTATTTTAAACTTATCTTTTAATAACATTTTTGATATTTTTACTTTTAATTAAAAATGCTTTATTTGTAAAAAATTATAAATGTTGTCGTCGGGCCCAGTTCACTACAGAAACGATTAAAAAATAAAAAATAGAGTATATATTAGATAAATAAATAAAATATATATTATATATATATATATATATATATAAATGAAACATAATATGTTTATAAATCGCTCATGTCAAAGGTTAATAGAAAAAAAAATATATGTATATTAATATATATTATATTATAATATATATATATATATATTAATAGTTTGGTATGTTTGCCAAAATAATATGAGATAAATATAAATAAATAAATACATTTAATGTATTATATATTTATATTTTAATAATGATAATGAAAAAACATATATGATAATTATTTTATAGTATATATATTTAAAGAATATATTATATATATAATAAATTCTTATGAATATATCTATCAAAATTTTTATTTATTATATATAACATATAATATAGCTTTATTCCGTATTGTGGTAGAATCTTACATATATATATATATATATATATATATCTTATGAACCACATATATATTTATAATTATATTTATATTTAGGGTATCCATTATATTTCCTTCCTATTTCCATATTTAAAATATTATATATATATATATATATATATATATATATATATATATATATATATATACTTATATATATTTGTATTATTTTTATTAAAAAAAAAAATGGCTGAATTATTGACGATAAAAAATTTATTTATTTGTTCTCATGAAAAAAGTGTTGAAGAATTGATAAAAGTAATGGATACATTAATTAACAAAGTTCAAGAAAGGAATGAGAATGACGATAATGAAAATATTTTATATAAAGAAAATATGAATAATAAAAAAAAATATGATATAATAAAAGATTATATGGATGCTAATAAGAATAATGTATTACATTTTGCTGTATACGGAAACAATTTTAATAACGTAAAATTTATTGTAGAGAATACAAATTTAATAAATACATTTAATAATGATGGACACAATGGATTAATTATTAGTATATTAAATAAAAATAATGATATTAGTAAGTTCTTATTAGATAATCATATTAATTATAATCAAGTTGATAAATACAATGCAAATGCTTTATTATATAGTGTGATAACACAGAATTATGATATTTTTAATTTATTAATTGAAAAAAATGATATAGATATTAATATTAATAGTTATGAAAAAGGAAACTTAATAAGTATATGTATCTTTGAAAGAAATATTAAATTATTAAAAAAACTATTTAATAAAAATATTTGCCCAGAATTAAAACAAAAAAATGTATATCCTCATCCACTCATTTTTATATTATATAGTAATGATAATCATTTATTATATTTATTCTTAACATATTCTTTATATTACTATTCAAAATCCAAAGAATTATTTAATATAAATAAAATTAATTTTGATTATACAACAGATGATATATCAATAAATTTACAAAATAAACAATGTATAAATTCCCTTTTAAAAAGTCAAAATATTAATATCAAAAATTTTCATTCTTTATTAAATATTAAGGATGAAAACAATTCATCACTTTTAGACATATGTATACAAATGGAAAATGAAGAGGGAAAAAATATATTGTCTTATTATAGTACGGAACAATGAAAAATTATATCATGCATAAATATATAAATATATATATATATATATATGTATACATATTTTTTCAGTACATAATTATTTTTTTTAAATGTGTTATAATTTTACCAACGTCTCATTGTGAAAAGAACAAAATTTCTTTGTTATTTTAATTCTTTTATTGTAACATTTTTCTTTTAAATGGTTTAACCCAAATTTTTGTCTTACAAAAGAAAAAATACAGGAAAAACAAAAAAAAAATAAAATAATAATAAAATAAAAAATAAAATAAAATTAAACGTGACATATATATATATATATATATATTTATATATTTATATTTATATTTTTGTATAAAATATTGCCTTATAGGTCATGGTATGCCTTATATGTTCCATTGTACTTGTACTAATTTTTTCCTATCTATAACATTCACATATCCAAAAAAAAGAAAAAAAAAAAAAAAAAAAAAAATGCATATAAAAACTTCTTTATTAAAAATATGTTTATTTTTACTATTGCTTAATACTTTAAACTTTTTCACAAAATGTAGTTTGCGTATTTTACCACTTAATAATGTTATAGATGGTATAATAATACATTTAGATTATAAATTTATAAAATATAAAGTGTATGCAAAAGGTATACACTTAAATGTGGATTTCGAAAACTTAAATTCTGTTAGACATATAATTGAATCATATAAGGATTTCAATGCATTATATTGTAATTTAAATAAAAAAAAAGAAGAAGAAACTATTGACAAGAACACGTTAAGAACAAATAATTGTGTTATTTTTGTAAATATAAAATATGAAGAAAACTTAAAACATATTTATGATTTTATGGAATATTTATATATAAATACTAGTGCTGTTGCTCTTATATTTATATCTGATAATTTTCTGTATGAAAACGAAATATATAATCCTCATGAAGATTTAAATATTACAATTATACATCCAAGTATTCTCACATATTTTATATCATATGATCG